GTACAACCCCTTCAGCTCACGGAGCGCCCCCAGGGGCGACTCAGCTCGCTTCATTATTGTCCTGTCTTTCTCGTCCTTGAGAGCTCCACGGAGGAAATTCCACGCGTGGAAAGCGAGCTCTACTTTGTCGTGCGGGTAAAACCTGGACAGTTGGACTTTGCTCTGCCCACTGTTTACGGGGATCTCCGCCCCCCCCACCTCGAAAAGTTCAAGAAGGTTTGCTGTGTTCGCTGCCATAAAAAAATCCTCTAGGCACGAAGAAAACTCTTGGCGTCTCCGCTGAACGTGGGCGCTGTGTACTTCACGCTTTGGTATCCCACGCTCGCACTACCGAAGACAGCAGCACCACTTCCCATGGCGCTGCTGAAACAAGCTTGATTGTGAGCAGCGGCTACTCTCACCTCTTGGGGGTCTGAACCCCCTACTTCGCCGCTGTGTCGTCCCGAAGGACCAGACTCTCTTCGCAGGTCCGCTGCCTGCGCGCTCCCGTCGTACTGCACGGTCCCAAAATGACCTGCAGTGCTTGTGGCGACGCTCTCCACGGCGCCGCCGCTTTCAGCGGCGCCCTCCGTGGCACCGCCGGACTTCTCCTCTATACGTGCAGCAAGTCCTCCGACCAGCTGCACCAGCTGGCCCATTTGCTGTGTCAGCGAACTGACCTCAGACCGCATGCTGTCGATCTGCTCGCTGCTATTTGTGTCTCCTGCCTGCGAGCCGTCCGGAGTGGTCCCTCCGGTTCTGCGGCCCGCCATCCCTAATGGACTCCCTCGAGGGAATAGACACTAGTGTGTTGGTATGTCCGTACTTGGGAGGAGAAGACACGCTTTAACTCTCTCTGATTAGGCACCCGCGGGAGCGAGGAAAGGAAGGGAAGAAGTGACCTTCCCGGATTTGGGGACGGGGGCCCACACATAGTAGCCTTTTTCAGGCATACGCATGCTCCTGTCTACGTATCCCCCCGTGCTGCTAGCAGATCTACCATGCTCGTATCCAGACACACGAACATTGTGTTACCTCCGGCCAACAAGGGGTATTACATGGGATAACGTGGGGGGGTTACAGGCCGAGCGAGCATAACGTGCCGGTTATGAAAGCGGTTACTATGCGCGGATTGGTGTGAAGGAGGAGAGAAGGAAAAAATATGTGTGAGCTTTCCCCTCCCTTGCATTCATTGTTAATTGTATTCACTCTTCTACCAAGCGATATATCGGCAGACGAATTTCCTCTCTTTCGAGGTGACTAGCGCAGGAACATCACATAACGCGGAGGGGATCGAACCACCAAACTGTGTCTATTTAGTCTAACGGTGTACCGCTACGCTACTTCATGTTGAAGCATAACACGTACGTATGTATTACTCGTAAATTCCATGAAATTATTTGTTGTGATGGGGGGGGTGTACTCATAGTCGTCCATGCCGTAGTCCTCAGACTATTGATCTCGCATCCCTACAAAGCCGGGACGGAGCACGCCGAGTTCTCACCGGGCCAGGCTCTCACATCACCAAGCGCGAAGTGCCGTGAGATATTCGGCGAGTCGCATCAAGGGTGCGCTGCATCCTGCTAAGGGTGTTCGGCATCTTGTGCTTACTTCCTTGCGTACGGATGACAGCTGCGTATGACTTAATATACTTTCTGGTGCTTTCACTTCCAGACAGTTGTAAGCACTGTGTAACTGCCTCGAGGGTGCTTGACCATTTCAACACAACGTGGTGCGATCATCCCCTTTGCGCGGAGTGAGGGTTCTCGACCCCGCACAACATAATCTACTCGACCACCATTCATTATGGTTACCACCAAAAAAAAAACAGAGGTAAAATCACAACATACGGTAACAACCTGGTTGCCGAGTTCACGAAATGAATTGGCTTGTTTTACAACGTCGTTGCCGAGCGACGAAAACCCAATCCCGATAGCAAACACCGAGGGGGGGGCTTGTTTTTCAACGTCTTTGCCAAGCGACGAAAACCCAACCCGGATGGCAAACACCGGGGGTAGTGATGGGGGCGGGAACAATTGTGGCAACACCACCCACTCCACGTGGCCGATAAGAGCATACTTAGTCTCTCTGCCTTCCCCCCCACGCAAGAAGCAGAAGCTCCGAGTAATGTCTTCCATTACCAATCGTTCAATGGCAAGTTTTGGGTCAGCAAAGTTTTTTTTATGTTCCACAGCAGCAACAACATATATACGAAGTATGCAGAATTATTTATTGCTGAGCGCGCAATTCTGTTCAGTGGAGATTTTTTATGTAACAATACTATATATTCGACCACTATTGATATATATATATTTAGGAGACAGACAAACGTACGTACGTGTTGTCGTATTGACTTTTATAGAGAGAAGCAGCGTATGTATTTAGTATATCATCGCCTATTTTTACTATGTAAGTGACAGTAGAAATAAGTCCTACATATAATATGTTGTTATTACTTCGTATTGGTTCAACCGCCTACTCTCTCTCTCTTTTTCTCAGTCCTTGCTTTGCCCCCCTATCGTTGCTGTGCGTGTTTGTTTCTAGGCAGCAATATATATATATCAAATAGAGTAGGCCCATGTCTATGTTGCTTCCGGCAATACATCATGATCAGAAGATACAGGTGGCGCTCGCACTAAAGAACTTGGCAGTTGAGAAATGCGGCCTCGAAAAAAATCAAAATCAAGGAAATCGACCACAAAAAAATAATTACAATATTTTATGGATGGAGGGTGAGCATGTTTTCGCAAAGCCTGCTGCGCCGTTACATCCTCGTAGCAGCACGATGTGAATGCATGTTTCATATTCTGCATGTTGAAGTGCCGCTCGTTGGTGACGATGGCAGAATATATTGCCCGCTGCTCTGCTTTTTTGCGACAAGAGTAGCCCGCATAGGTGTGCGCTTTTTGTTTTGCAACAAAAGCTGATTTACAGGGATCGTGTGCATGATGTGTATGCGCGAAAAAACGGACAATTTGGTGCCTAGCGGGGCCACACACGAGGCCATGTGTGTCTGTCCGTGACCAGGTTGCGATAAATACGCAGCAGACTGGAGCCCACTTCACCATCTAGACACCAAATTGCAATCTAAGGCTTGCGCACAACACGTAAATATTTTGCCCGATCTGTCCCAACTGCTACCTTGTCAATCCGTTGTCGGTGCGTCGAGATAGCACAGCATCTGCCCAGAATACAAATGTCGCATTCAAGCGTCCCCGAGGTGACGAGGAGGCTTGTTTGACCAGACGTACGCAGGCTCACGCAGCAAATACATCACCTGGAGCCATTCACACGCATATGAGTCAGACACACATGGACAAGGGGGGGGTTCGTACATTTTTTTACTATTTCGTGGACATGTCCGTGGACACGTCCATGGACGTCTATGGCACGTCCGTGGCACGTCCGTGGACGTCCAAGGATGTCCACGGGCGTCCACGGACTCCTCCACGGACGTCCATGTACGTTGTCCGTTTGCATTTCCTTGGACTTGTCCACGGACGTGTCCGTGCACAACGTCCATGGACATGTTCATGGACTTTTCCGCGGACGTCCACGGACGTCCATGGACGTCCATGGACGCGTCCACGAAAATATCAAGTCCACGGACGTTGTCCACGGACAAGTCCACGGACGGGTAGTAAGTGTTCGGAAGTCCACTGCTGTCCACTGACTGATCACGTTTCCTTTTGTTCATGTTGACGCCCGCCCGCCCCCCTGCTAGGGCTCTCCCACACTTTCGAGGTCTCGATAATTCACCCGCCCATGAGCGGCCCATGGACAGCCCATGGTTCGCTCATGGTGGGCATTCTATGGGCTGCATTTTTGCCCACGACGGGCCGCCCATGATCATGCCCACGGGCAAGCCTACAATGCCCGCCATGGGCTGGCCATGGGCTGCCCATGGGAACCCCAACATGTGCAGCCCATCGTGGGGCAGCCCACCACGGTAAGCATGTTGGGCATACCAGTGGGCCGCCCATCGTGGGCAAAATTACAGGGAAACACGGTTTGGCCAGGATCCTTTCATGGTTGGCCAAAAAGTTTGGTTACAGTCCCTAATGCAAAAAACAAATACGTTCCCGTGATCCCCACGACCAGCGCGGCCTAGGGAAAAAAAAAACAGTAAAGCTTGAGGGTACTTTCCAACATAGACTAATTGAAGGAAAAACGAGAACGGAAACGAGGACGCTTGGGATCGAACCCCGGCCCTCCTGAAAGGTGCACGCACGAACTCTTGCGGTACTCGTGCACAATTTCCCACACTACTGAGAGTTTCGTTTAACCGCCCATGGGACACCCAAGGGTCACCCATGGCCGCCCATGGGCACTTCATGGCCGGCCATGGGCTGGCCATGGGTTCCCCATGGGCTGCCCATGATTGACCCCTCAGGAGGGCCCATGAAGTTTCCACCGTGGGCCCTTCAACCTAGAATTTCGCCACCGGCATTTCAACCAATAAGTTAGCCACCTTCACATCAACCTGAAAGCTATCCACCAGCGCCAACCAAACGCGTATCATGTGGGTTTGGGGTTAGGGTTACGGTTAGCGCTAGGGTTATTTGCCGCTATAGTGCCCGTTCCAAAGCAGATAAATCTACTGTTCAGTTGTACACTGGTTCGGTTGAAGGGCTCTCATTGGCCGTCCATGGGCTTCCCATGGGTGACCCAGTTGTTGTCCCAAGGGCTGCCCATGGACCTAACGGGGTGCCCACACGCGGCCCATGAGCGGGTCCATGGGTGACCCATGGGTGACCAATGGGTGACCCATGGGTCGTTTGGGACAACTGTAGAAGGGTGGAAGACCTCACGTGCAGCCAATAGTTCTTCTGTGTCCCCAAGCATATTCTTGTACAACATCCATACGATCATGAAGAGTGGGTTCACCGAAAAGTGTCTCGTCGACGCCGATACAAGACCCACATAGGCGCCCTGTGGAATCCCTGCCAAACAACGGCCTTGGCCAAGACGGATGAGTGGAGATGGTTGCGTGTTGTTGACGGCTCATTCGAGCGTGTCGAGTTGAACCATTTGGACCCGATACATGCCCAATTATCCTCCTCCCGCAGGAAATAAAGAATCCATCGTTTTGGCTACTATCCAAGAATGAAATATTGCATCATCTCAACAAACTTTTCCTCGTCGTAGCGCATCATACCACCTAAAAATGGCGTCTCTCTGACGTTTGTCAACGAATGCTAAGATGCCAAGTCGCTGAAACAGCGGTGGTGGGTGAAAGAACATTTCTTGCACTAATGCAGACCCCCTTCCTCATTTGGGACATCTTCATGGGGGGGGGGAGGAGTACCGGCATTCTTTTGGGGTCTCGCCAAGGAGGATAAATGAACCGAAAGTGGAAGTGCCCAAGGGAATTTGCATATGAACATGTCACCGCTTGCTCACGGAAGCTACCTGTTGAACGAAATATGCATATCACAAATGACCCGTGTGAGTGTGGCACCTTCTTGCACGACGACGTGCGTCTCAAACTTCATACCTTCCAACAGTTACCAGCCGTAACTTGTGGTGATCGGAGTCCACATATCTCCCTCTTCGTTCAGGCCAGAAAATACATGGCGCCGAGGAGCACTTATTCCCGTGCCACGTGGACCGCTTGTACTAGTATATCTCGACTCGGACTCGTCGGCCCAATGGATATAGTGGTGAAATCGTTAGGATGGAGTATACTCTACCGATAGAAGCCAAGTACCTGTTTTTCCATGTGTGAATTCCTCGTTGCAGAAGTCTTGTAGCCCTTTTGACTGCTCGCCGA